GTACGCACGGAAGTGCCCTACCTAGTCTGGTGCAGGTACCACAGTCTGGTCTCGACACAGCATGAACATCATGAGCCAGACCGTCATTCCTGTCCTCAGATCAAATGGCATCACATCGTTCACAAACCATGGGGGCAGGCATCTTTGTCTGACCTACGCACTAACCGAAATGTTCGTGGTAAATGTGCTGACATTGTGCATTTACAAATACACTTAGCGAGGCTGTTCCCCGTAGTCGCGGAGAGCTAGAAATCCTTGCTGCCTATGCGGTTTGCAAACACATATGTTCTTAGTTTATTTGTCGGTGGCGACATTAGGTCGATACCGCATCTGTTTTGCGAAACCCATTGAGGCCGCATTCAACACGCTGCCTCACCCACTGATTTCGCCGATGCCATGACTCCGGAAGCATTCTGAAACGTTTTGTATTAAGTAATTAACTACATTACATCTAAATATCCGATGACGAAAAACCTAGTGTAAACAAAGTAGGGAGATTATACTCAATATACCCATGAACTTAGTGGAAAAATCACAAAAAATGACGATGCCAACGTCTGCTTGGCGGTCGATTGCAGGATGTGTTTTGCTGGAAGGTTTGAGACTACTGTAAACATCGGAACCCTACCTCTGCGAGCGTAAGTGGCTCGGATGCTGTCAGGCGTTGCAGTTCCTCTGATCTCATCCACTCGTGATACCTTGGGACATGACCAGGCACGTATGGAACCAGGACTATGTCGGCCGTTTGAATTGCCAAATTTTGACACACCTATAATTTTTTGGTCGAGGTGTGGTTTTCGTCTGGTACTACAACTGTGGGGAAAGCACTCTGGTTGAACCGAACAGTTTTATTTCAAATGTTATGTACATCATTCTGCCTTAGTGACCCTTGCATATGTCATCTGGGAATGATGACCTGTGACCACTTTGATAAGGCCTAGAAGCAGTAGAATTATCTATATTCACATACCTTGCTTCCTCATTTCGTTCAGTGCTGCGCGAGCGAGGGAAACGCGGATCTTCAGGCGCACAGACACCTCAGATGGAGTGATGGGCTTGTACGTCGGAGCCTCCTTAAGGAACTTATCATAGGTCGCTTTGTCAAACAGGCACATGTTGTTAAGCTTGTCCCTAACTTTTCCCTTAGACCACTTCTTCTTCTTGGCTTTCCCACCGCCTCCTTCCTTCTTGGCTGCGGGCTTCTTCACCGGCTTCGAGTCCTTTTTGGAGCTCTTCCCAGCTGTCTTTGGGGGCTAGAAGAAAATAGGCCTTAGAAACTTCAAAACATCGGAACACAAAACAAATTGCCACAGCACGCCGTACCATTGCAGCGGTAAGTAAACCAGCCCGCGCTTAGACGGCTTAAACAAACTAATTAAGTGACTCGTGGTTTGGTGTACACACAGTGTCTGCGAATCGGTTGAGTCACTTCTAACGCTTTCTATCTCACTGTGAAACCGCAACCTCGAATTAGCTGTGCGCACAACTGGAGATTGTTCTAGAAGGCGACGAGGGTTATGGGCACCTAAAACGCTAGTCAAAACTTGTAACTTTTCCCGGGTTGCGAGAAACCCTGAACATATTGCCTTTTCTCGAGTTGATAAGGCGATGCAAAGCTCAAAGCATATATAAAGGTGTTCCTGGGCAATCTAAGAAGCAAGTTATGAGGATGATGGCTATGGTAGTACAAGCGGCTGCATCAAAATCATTTGAAGGTCTAAGTTGGTATACAAGCAGATAACGGAAGGCATGATATGAGAGCAAGATTCGGAATATGAAAGATGGAATAGAAAGGTAAAAAAGGAAAGCCCCATATTTTCGGAAATAGTTATTGAAAATCGTATTTGAAAAAAAATATGCATCCATGAAGCATCAATGCGAAAAAGCGGACTAACGTATGCGCTAGGGTATCCCGGAATACAGGTCTGTTGGTGTGCAATTATTAACCCCAAATGATACTGCCACTTGCTGAACGTTTGGACGTTTACATGGGGCATCCGGGCATAGGATTCTGCTAAACCCGCTGTACCGTTCTTACTGAAGGTGGGAATCTTATCTGGGAGTGTTCCTGGTCATTACGTATGTGACGATGCTTTATCCACTATGTAAAACTTAGAATCACATGAGCAAATAGTGTTCGATAGTGCAGGCGTTCTTTGGACCTGTCCTCTCACTATTGTCGGTTCTTTTCTGTGAACCCAATTATCATTTGGAATAAATTACCCAGGAATATGAAAATTCTCCAAAATCATTCCTTGTTTAACAGAACTATTTCCCGTTTTTTGCATTCAGCAAAACCTTCACAAACTTTGGTGTCGAATCTGTAACGCAGTAACACTTTCCCTCATGCTTGTACATCGTTGCTTTCCTTCTTTATATGGAGGCAGTCAGTGAATGCCCTGGCCGGCACGACCGAAGTCGACACGGACGAACTGGACTGTTTGAACGGGCCGGAGAAAGAGCGCGGTTGATTCGAGTTGTCAAGTGAACAATAACTTCTCTTCTGTCTGTGACGCCTGTTTCCGATCCTGGGTCACCAGAACCGCCAGTCATCACATTGTATGTTACTCAGAAAACAGATACAGAGGCGGATTTCACTCGCCCTCCTCTCCGACCTCTCAACGCCTTTCACTCTGTCGATGACTTTTCCCTGTGAGTCTTTTTTGTCAATAATTTCCTCTGTACCGTTCCTCCCAAACACACCAGCCCATACTTAACCTAGCTTTTGGATGCTTCGGCCGCCTGGCAGGTAATGGCTACGGGAGTCTTGTTGGATGCCCCGTCGGTGAAGTCTTCAAAACCCTCAGTGATTAGTTTGATCACGGATCGGCATCTGCCCTGGCGCTCGAAGCCTTCTGGAGCCGACAGCATTTGGCAACAGAGTCGGTCGACGCTTAAGCCGAGGCCTTACACGAGCTAGCTCCACAGGCCTTTCCCAATGAGCCCGCGGCCGGTGTGAAACAGAGCTTCCCATGCTATTTTCTCTTGGTGTTTGGAACACCAAGCTGTATTCAAAATTTGTACTTAAGTGGTAGACGTCACTACGGACCGCTCTGGAAGTGGTACGCGGTTCCGAAGCTGCGGAAGTAGCTTAACGACAGCTTGCCTCAACTCATCTCTTTTCTGTGACAGAACTTAGTCTGTCCAGTCGTCGAACACAACCCCATTAAGTCGGTGACCGTCAGAATTATCCGGACAGTTGTCCTTACTGTAGCCGATTCGGCAGGCAGACTCAGCGTTGCGGTCACAATTCCCCGATGAGCCACCAGTTCACGTCGGGTAGGCCCGTCCCGAACGCTATGAGTTTTCCATCCTTGGCGGTATTTTTCCGCGGTGTCCGCACACCACCTACCATCCCTGGCATCTTTAATGATTGTATGGCGTCCATTTTGCTGGATGCCGGCGCTTCGTCTTCTGTTGCTTGTTCAAACCTTCGGTGGGTGAGCTACGAATCCTCCTCTCGACTTGCACAGCCTTTGGCGGGCAACGACTCTGTCCTCCGTCCAGACGGACAGGCGTGCAGCTCCGTGGGCACAGGTTATTTTACGACGAAAAACACGTCCGTTTGCGCGCGCATCCAGTGGGGCGTGATTCTGGATATGGACTTTCTAGATCCCCACCACGCCTCCAATGATTTCGCTCCCCTCAGAATCTGCCTGGAGGGCATCGAGTTCTTTCGCACGGACACTCTCGCGGCGATTGCTAACGGACCGTAGTGGGTCTCTTTCTGCTCTTAGTCTGCGAGAGCTGAGTCTTCACAACAAGCTGTCGTTGTGCTCTTAGAGGAGTTTGCCGCTCATTTCGACGTCAACAACAGATCCTAAGGCACACGAAGTCCCTTCAGCATTGCATTGACACATGGATCGTCTGACCTATCCGTCAGGCGTCCAAGCGCATTCCTATTGGACGCGAATCGGAGTGTTGCGACACTGGTATCGTATCGTTTATTTTATTTGTTTATCCCCGTATAAGAAACCACTACTCCCAAACCTCCTTTCCGAGAATCTAAAAACTAAAAAAAAACAGTCATACATGTTATTTGCAAGTTACTTATCCACACTAAGACGGATTACTGAAATTCACGATTTTGTTACTAAAGTGGAGAAAACAGGCCATACCAACAGAAAATCAGGCACTAAAATCCCCGAACGAACAGCTTAAATTTTCCAAAATAATCAATGAAAGTCAGGACCTCAAACTGCGAACGATGAATCAGGGCAAGAAATGACTAATGACAATCAGATAGCGAACTTATTCAACAAATATTGCTCACATAAGTATACGGTAGAAGAACCGATTGCTCAACCTATCGAGATGGCAGGACTCACCTTTGACGAGATCTTTTTTGTAAAGGAACTGTTAAAGAAGCTATCATACAATCGTCCAACGCCAATTGCCATGGGACGGACATGGTCCCACCATGTATTCTGAAGAATATGATATATGCTGTAATAGTCCTATCTAAACCGTTTGCCCTAATCCAGTCAAATGCGATTTTTCTAGACATTTGAAAGCACTCGAGCATTACACCAATCTTTCAAAGTGCGGATTTGTCTGATACCCAAAGCTATCGTGATGTTCACCGAACAACGACAGTAGTTGAAATCCTCGAAATATCACTTTGCAATCAATAGCTAGACCATCTCATAAACGCTAACCTAATACCTCCCTCTCGGCATGCCTTTTAGCCCGAAAAGTCATGTCCGTCCTGCCATCTCACTTTTCCTGAATTTATTTCCAACAGCAGCAATGCTTGAAACACAGTAACTATAATATACATCGATCTAAAAAGGCCTTTGACAAAGTTCCCCATAAAAGACTACTAATTAAGATAATAAGTCGTGCAATTAGAATCCCTTCTTGATTTTTGCAAATCCCATCTTCAAAATCGATATCAAACGGTAGAGATTTGAAATTGAATCTCAAACTATCCCATATCACCAATGGACTACTTCAGGGCACTATCCTAGGCCCTGTTCTATTTCTCATATATATTCACGACTTATCGCCATTATCTATCTCAGCTAAAACGTTTTATACGCTGACGAACTAGAACTCGTACATGCATATAACGAGCATACGGCAGCCAATATGAATAGAACAAATGAAACCGATCTTAGATAACTTAGCGAATGGAATAGTAAATAGCAAATGCCGTTCGCACCAACAAAATATCATCTCCTGATTTTTGGTCCACAAAACTCCACTCCCATAATTTTCGAGGATTATGAAATAAAGCTAACCCAGTGAATAAATGACTTACGTTTGAGCAATACAAATACACTTGAATTGTCCACCCGCATTTAACGAATACTAACGAAAGCCACTCTCCTGGGCGCTTCCTATGCGAAAATGTCCCCTTAGATAAACTGAAAACACAAATTTTGGTATAATGCACCCGATGGGCAAAAGAAACTAGAAGGCATTCGAAGACGCTTTACTAAATGTTTGTTCAAATATGATGGCACCCGAGGCTTATACCTGGAACGATATAATAAATAAATTAATTAATTAATTAAATAAATTTTTTATTTAATGCCAGTTTCCAAGCATTGTCAAGGAAAGCGATTAAACACAAATCCGACCAGCAGTGAAAAAAAACTCCAGAGAAATAAAAATATAGTTGATGGTGGTTTTAATGGTTTGGAGGGCTCAGGAGAAAAAACTGCCGGCGGTGGTAGAATATCGACCGTCAAGAAGGGGGAGA